AACTAGACGAGGACGTTGTGTTTACTTGTCGCTTGTTTGATTTTATTATCGTGTTCAATCTAGGCGCATGTAGCGCAGTGGTTAGAGGCGCCTTGCAGTACACATGGGTTCGTTCGCGCGCCCCTAGCTCACCAAGCCTTCTATTCATCCGGGGTCGGCAATTAGATACCGGACGTGTCTGGGAGGATAGCAGCACTGACTCGATTCATTGGCAAGCCACCGCGAGTCAGTGAATAAGCCAGATATGCATTCAATCACCTCTAACGGTGGTTAATGAAGTCGAATGTATGGCACATCCCTCTTGGATGGATCAACTCCTAAAGCTTAATCTTTTTTTTCCGTTTTACTAAAAGTGTTAATAGTTAGCAAATAGAATTTTTGAGTTGCTACTACTTTCGAGGATTCACGATTAGTCCATTTGGTTGTAACTGAGAAGGTGAAGATTCAAATGAGTTGGTTTTATTTTACAATCTTCCGTTATGTTGTCCATATTTACCTCATAAATGTTGTTGAAGTTATGATGCCCAACTACCTTGACATTATTCCACTGACCATGGTTCTCTTTACGGCAAATGTATGCGGTCTGTAAAAGAGACAAATGGTTTCCGGTTTTGAAGATTGATTGGCAGGAAGTTGATACGCCATCCAGTCTTTAGCTGGGGTATGGTAAAACTTCGTGTTTAGTCTTAACGTTAACAGTGACATTCGCATAGGTTGCAATGAACGAAAGAATGCATATTTTCCAGTGGTGTATTTAGGATGAATAAAGAACTTTAACAAAGTGTTTCACTAATAGACTAAAAAGAGAAATCTGGTGCTAATGAGAGTTGGAATGTTGAACATCTTGCGTACATATCATGGGAAACGGTTCTCAATAAACGTTTCGGTTACGGCTGTATACTTCCTCTGTAGTTTCCAGGGAGATGTGTGGTGATAAGCGAACTAGAGTGACGAAAAATAAACGTATTACTACTTCCATACAATAGCACGCATGCAACGCAACACAATAGATGACGTTTCGGCAGAATCCCTTCTTCAGAGCCTGGAAGGGTACAATGATGCGTAGTTTACTAGGTCAAACGCTTCGACAGCGCAAACAGAAAGGTGAAAATCTGAGCGTTAATTACAAGATCAAGATGTATGAACGGTTTTCCCGAAACTTCAGCTACGGTTGTGTTGTACGTGTATTATTGTATAGAAGTAAATGTATACTGTTTAACAACCTCGCGATTGCTGAGAAAGAAAACGACGAATTTATAATCCAATGCCGAGTTTAATAGAAAGTCGATTCTGGAAACCATATTACACCTTTTTCTGATAAAAACATTACCTGCTTGGGAATTACGTTTTGGACTTTGTCCTTGAACAGTCGTTTTGGTGTTTATTTGGTAGAAAATGTTTTTCCAGCTTTTACATCTCTCTTACGTTTTGTAAGTAAAGTTCGGCATCTAATGCAGTGGTTAGAGGTATACTGCACTGCAATCAGGGTGTTTAGTTCGATCCTGTGGTCCGGGCAAGGCAAGTTCCCCATCCTTCTGACAAGGTGGACAAGGTGATGGAATTGGTACCGGATGTAAGACAAAAACGCTCATTTGATGAATCGGTGGCCTACCTTGAACCATTTCCACCCAAATATACACTGAACCGTCTGTACGGTGTTTGATGAAGCCGAATGCATCGTGCTTCCGTGAAGTATTGATCAAAGTCGGAATTTTAATCCTCTGTCCTTCAGTTTGTTCGATATTGCGGAATACACTCTAAACTAATAACCGAATGGTCTTTGTTGAGATTTGTTTAACTTTGATGTAATAATTGTCATAAATCCTTTTGAATATTCTTTTGTTGGAAAACTCTGATTTCTCAATGAGAACAATTCTCTTGTTCTCATCATTCTCTAAAGTAATAGGGTTATGTGTAGTGACTTTACTTCATGAAGATAATTAAATCAGTGTGATGTGGATGACTGTAATAGAATCTGGAGTTGTTAACGTAACTATGAGTGGCTTAACTTGCATAGACTGGCAGTTCTGTATCTGGAAAAGGGATTTCGAATGTCTGTGGAATGAATTGATTTTGTGAAGTAACGCGAGTGTGGGATGATTTAATAATGTTGTCGATCATTCTAATGTGAAATGTAGCAAATCAAAGCGAAGAGAAAAGGCGTGAACCATTCGGGGTAATGATTGTGTAATATCTTATTAGAACTGTTGACCATAAGACATTTATAAGCTTTTGTAAGCTTTTTTAATAGGTTACTAGCTAAAGTTTCTTGCCTTATTGGGACAAAAAAGGTAACAAATCAAGTTATACGAGAGATTCTTTGTTTGTGTATGCTTTCCTAACAGTTGTTGTGGAATAGCTACCATCAGTGCGAAAAAAATCCAGTAGTAATGTTATCGTTAACAGCTCATGTATTGGGTTGCTTTTTTCATATTAGACGGAAGTTTGCAATGAGATCTAAGTTCGCGGCTGTCCGTCGGAATGACACTAGTTCTGAAAAGTCGGATATAGTCGAATATTCAGTACAACTCTTTTTTTTACATGACCCGTCATCACGTCTACTGTGCGTATCCCAGCATTTCTTGCATTCTGTTAATTTTCATCGTATTCATCCGTCACAATGGTCTTTGATCGTTTGGCGTGTTGTTTCGGCTGCTGCTTGTGGGTCTAGTCTTTCTTCTTTATGAATGTGTTAGGATGTTACTCGAGTCGATTCTTTTTGTAGTCTCGGAGATAGCTGGGCTGAGGCGTTCCCACGTGGTCCGTGGATTGGAGGTGGGCGTTGGGCTTGGGGAGGGGGTTTGAGCTAGCGTGTTTGTTTCATGATCGCCTCCATCACTAACCACTACGTTATTCCCACTCCATGTAGTATAGGTATAACAAAAAAAGTGTTCTATATCTTCTCTTTCTTTGCGTTATGCTGATCCAATTTCAATCGTATATATGTCGAAGAGTTGACTGTCCTATAGCGTACATAGTTCTTCTTTTAGATTCGGTCGTTCTGAGGTTTCAATTTTATTGTTGTTACCTTAGTAGTAGTATTTAGTAGCCATATGACTAATGATTTGGTTTGAGACATGGTCCAAGTTTCGCAGCCATGGTTGTCTTTTTGCCCTGTTCTTCATTTACGCGTGTTTTGCATCTGTATAGGTTAAAAGTACGCTTTTTAACGTGAAACATCTTCTAAACAAGCTCGTAGCTATTCTCAATCTTGGTTGTAAACCCTAGCTTATAGATAGAAGCTAATGGTAGATGAAACAATACGGTGCTGTTGCATATATCGCTCAAATTTCCAAATGTTTTCAACACTCGTAGGGCTTCGAGAGGTTTTAGCTCTTCGTTATAGTACCGAAATGCTGAACATAATTAGCAAAAAGCATTCATTCAACTAAAATGCAAAAGTCTTACATCTCAGGGTTGTCATTACCCTAGTTGTGCACCGTTGTCAATATTTTTCGTCTATTATTTTTATTATTGTTGTTATTATCGTAGATTATTATCCTGGATGTCGGGCTTCGATGTACAGCTAGGACATTCATCAGCTCCAGCAGAGTCACCCAAGCTGAGAAGGAGTCCGGTGTTTCCATCAGGAAGCCCACCTAAGAGTAAACCAATACCAGCATTCACCACCGTCTTGGTATCAAACTAGTTGCATGGTGGCAAACTTCTCTCTGATCCACAAGGGCGGCTACTGCCTGCGGTGATGACGACCTGGAGCAGACTTTAGCCAGCCTGACCTCGGAAATCCAGAGAAACACAACTGCTAATCCAGAATAACTTAGAAAAAGTGGAAATTGTAGTGATGCCCTCACAACAGTGAAATCGGGCCATCCAGGTAGCAAAGTATTATCATCGATTGCTATTACTTGTTGTTATCATTGTTGTTGTTTATTATTTTTATTACCACGTATTGTTAGTATTTGATGCTGTTTTTACTATTTTAACTATTCTTAATATTAGTTGCTACTATTAGTTGTTATTGCTATTTATTACTATTTATTACTGTTATGTACCATTACCATTATCGTTATGAATTAACAATCCATTAATGTGCTTTTGGATTCACGGGAACATTTCTTTTTTAGCTGTATATGAGACATGAATTTTTGTGTGCTCACTGTTCTTGAATAACTCATTTTCTCTAGAAATATACCCGCACGTTGTTGGTCGTTCTCCATGAAAAAAATCAAGTTTGCTGACGGGTGGCTTTTCCGTTGTTAGGAAGATCCGTGTAGTATTATATCTGCGTTCTTAATTAGACTTAGAACTTCTCATGATGTTGTGCAAGCACGTTTTTAATGTGTTGAACTTTCTTTGACTTTTTGATGCTTTATTTTGCTTGCTGAGAAAACCCTTTGTTTAACCTCGGAGTGTTGATCCATCGTCTACTGTGGTTATGTAGAAGGACGAGATTTTTTACTTTTCTCTGGACTTTTTTTTGGAGTTTCAATTGATTTCTGCCTAGCAAACAAAAACAGCGTGTTTTCAGATATTCATGCAGAAGCAAATGGACTTGATGGCGCATTTTGAACGTGCTCAGCAAGCACTTAATATGCAGCATTTGCAACAGTACTGCCAAGCACTTCAGCAACAAGCCTCTGCCAATAGCATCCATGCGACACTTGAACGAATGGATGAAGGGTTTTGTGATGCCGCTGGTGAATGAGAATTTGGAAACGCTAATGTTAGTGACACGAAAATTCTATTAATATTCATAACGAATTGCAGTTGCACCGTTTTCACTAACCTCCTCGTTGGGAAGTTTACTGGGTTCAAGCCAATCTCCAACCACCTCTCGTGACACCTGTGTATCACAACGAGTTCGAAGGTTGTTTTAATACTTTTCGAAAAATAGTCATTTCATTACATTCGTAGTACTTTTCTCTTGTTTGAGTCTATTGATTTCCTGTATTATCACTATCTCTAGCGACTATCGAAATACATCGGTGAACTCGTCTTCGCAGACTATTTCTCAGCATACGAAAGATCGTTTAAAGAACATGATTGCTCAACGGAATCGTGAATGCGGCCAGATTAACTCTTCTGGTACTCCTCCTCAGCAACATACGCCGATGAGTCCACAAGTACGGTTTTGGTTTCAACATTACTTTTCTTCTAGTGTAGTCGATATGTTGACTCAGAAAAGTAGAAAGTTTATTCACTCATAGAACTTGATCACTGATCCACTGTTAGAATTTTGGTCAGCGTTTCATTGTGCGCCGTGATTGCTTACCTTTTGTAACATCTTGACTTTGAGAAAAAATGAAAGATTTTTTCCCTTAATGGCTATGAAATGCTTATTGATGTTTTTTAGGCATTCGTAAGAATTGCATTTTTTAAAATTGTGGCACTACGAACGTTTTGCATTTCCAGGTGAATGTCCCTTCGCCACATTTTGAGCCATATCGAGTACCTGCATCATTGCACAGTGTTCAAGCAGCAAACTGTCAACCATCCGGAGAATATCAGTTGCGAAAAGTTAGCAGTGAACCGAATTTGAAAATGCGAATCCGTGCAAAGTTGCTTAGCAAAGGTTCGAGTCCTGTTCAAAATCAGAACAGTGCAAACTTCACGCATCCTCAGTTGAAACGGTATGTTCCTCTTATTTTTCTTTGGTTTTCGTCTTTTTTTTTTACATTACAGCACGAATGGGTTGTGAGCTTCCAGTAAGAGAGCTATTTTCTTAACTCTGTTCAATGCATTCTTTACCAGAAGTGAGAGCGAAACGTCAGGAAACGGTGCTGGAGGTGGAAACCTGGATATGGACACTCTGCTATCAAATGCCGCTACGACGTTCCCTCCTCATCTTATCATGCCCTCTCCTAGTCTACCAAATCTTTCTGCCTCTAGCCTTGCACAACCTCCACAGCTGCCTATCGGTGCGTATTTGTGAAGAGTAAAACTTATGTGCTGGTTAAGCTAATATTTGCAATTTGTATGATAGGTTTAGACATGGCATCCTTAATGGCGGCTGCACAACTGACACCATTCCTAAGCTTGCCAAGTCTCCTTAAGACTCAAATAGGACTTGGGAGTGGTTTGCTAGATGAGGACGTAACGAACCGAGCAAAACTAACTCCAGGCGTAACCAGTCTTAGCGCACTTTCACAGCAATTGCCTGTTGGTGGATATCCTTCACTGCTTAAGCAGCAGCTTAGGGAACTAGTTCTTAGGAGGAAAAGTCTTGTCCGGTAAGTGTTTAGCTTTCATTTGATTTTTATGGTATTTTGCAATGTGTGCTATAACTTGGTGCAATGTAAGAGGCACTTACTAATCGTATCACGAAAATAGACACTCTTTAACTCCATATTTTATACGTGTTGGGTACATATGGAGCAGTGGTCGGAGTCGAATCAGAATCTATCCATATCCCACTCAGAGTACATAAGATATGAAGGTGTGGTTAGCCATTGTCAAGATGGTAACCGAGCGCCATTTTTATCCACTCCATATTTTAGCTTTTTTCCCTTGCTTTTGCTGTACGTGATTACCAATAATCGTTTGATGCAAAATGATTCGATTTTTACTGCACTTCAGAAGGGAATCAAAAGTCAGAATTCTGACCAATCAAATTTTTTTCGAACTAGTTTTGTGGACCATTATTTTTCTGGAAACCGTTGATTGCCTAATAGAAAGTAGCTCTCCGATCCCTTAAATGATTCGCTATTAGTCGCTTTCAGTGTAAGCAAGGATTACATCGTTCGCTGTAATGGAAAGCCATCTGTAATATTTCGCACTGAGAATTTTCCTGTCTGCATGCTTATTAAGGTAGCCTATGAGAGGGGACAGGGAGCGTGTGGCGCAGTGGTCGGAGGTGCTCTGCAGCACGCACTTGGAATCGTTCCTCGCACCCTTCACATAGCTTTCCATCCCTACGGGGTTGGCATATTGGTACTAGATTTGTCTGGGAGGATACCAGCACTGACTCGATACATCAGTAGACCACCGTGAGTCATTATAAAGGCCAGATATGCATTCAGTCACCTCCAAACTATGCTTAATGAAGTCGAATGCATGGCGCATCCCTAAGGAATTGATCAACGACGATAACCTTTTCTTTTTTGATATGCTTACTAATTATAGCGCATTTGGTTTATGTTTCAAGCCACATACATGTACTTCATTTTATTTTTATTGTGGTAATACGAAAAATGGTTTAGCGAGGAACCAGAGGATGACGACTCGCTCAGTGCTCAAGGCGTTTCTTCTTCTGGGCAACTACCAACATCTCTTGGAATGAGTGAGATGTCTAGTGGCAAAGCCACTGGTCTCGCGTATGACTCTAGTATGGCTCGACATGAGTGCGTGTGTGGTGAAAGCAGTTCACATGTGGAACATGGTGGACGAGTGCAAAGTATTTGGGCACGATTGTTGGAGCGAGGATTAGTGCAGAGGTAAGCGTCGTAACACGTTTTAACATCGCTATGGATTATTCCGATACAGCAACGCTTTACGCATGATTAGCTTTCATGCTCAGTATCCCGCATGTTCTTGAGGTTGCGTAGGTTTTACTGGTGTTAAGGTATAGTTTCCAATGAAAGTAACAATTGGGAGGTTATCACAATGCAGTTTGCAAGTTGTCCCAGGATATATACGATTGGTTATCCTGTCTTCGTGATTTCTTCCAACGGTTTACCGCCTCATCGTGGCTGGGAGGTGTTCCTGGGTGTCGGGTTGCAGTGTACAGTGGAGGTTTCATCTCAGCAGCAGGATCTCCCAAGCTAACAAAAAGTCCGGCGTTTCCATCAGGAATCTCAGCTAAAAGTGAATCAATACCAGGATCTCCCACCGTTGTGGTACCAAACTAGGCGCATAGTGGCAAATCTTCCACTGATCCACAGGGGCGGCGACTGCCTGTGATGGTGACGACCTGGAGTAGCTTTTGGCCTGGCTGACCTCGGGAGTCCAGGGGCTTACAACAGCTAGACCACCAAAACTCCAAAAACATCTAAATTGTGCTGTGGTAGACACAGCCAGCGAAGACGGGCCATCCAAGTGTCCAAGTAAGTAAGTTTTCATGATTGTACTTTTTACATGGATTAACATATACTCTAGAGCATTAATAATGTGAAAGCGTTTTCGGGAAGCTTCCTTGTGTTCACTACTATACTTTAGATGCGAGAGAATAGCAGCGAAAAAAGCTTCGCTCGAACATCTTCGAATGGTTCATTCACCAACTTATGTGACTTTTTTTGCCGTTTCACCAACGGCGTGCCTGAAAATGGAAGCATCACAACTGCCCCTCAAAAGTTTTGTTCAGGTGATTTTATGGTTTGATAGTACCAATAAAATACTACATTTTCATATTTTAGTTGCCATGTGGTGGAATTGGAATCGACTCTGATACGTATTTCAATGATGCGACTACCCAGACAGCTGCACGAGTTGCAGCTGGTTCACTAATCGAATTAGCTTCTCAGGTCTGCTGGACTATGTGACGCTGTATGGGAGGGCACTTATTTCTTAACAAATTCCTTCCGAAATTTAGGTAGCAGAGAATCGTTTACGAAATGGTTTCGCTTGTATCCGACCACCTGGTCATCACTCTGAGAGGGATCAGGTAGAGGGGTAATTTTTCTTACCCAGTATTTACTACACGTCACATTTTTCTTCTAGGCAATGGGATTCTGCTTCTTCAATAATGTGGCTATCACGGCACGTTACCTACAGAATAAATACCCACAACAATGTGCAAGAATCGCCATTATTGATTGGGTGAATATATGTCGTTGTTTTTCTGTTAGTTGAGCTTTAGAATTGCTTTTAGCATTTCTATTCGTTCTTTTTTCCTAGGATGTGCACCATGGCAACGGAACTCAACTTTGCTTTGAGGAAGATCCTAGTGTTTTATATTTGTCTCTACATCGTCACGATAATGGCAATTTTTTTCCTGGAACTGGCGCAGTAACAGAAGTCGGCCGGGGCGCTGGAAAGGTTCATCACAGTTTATTTTTATATTTATTGATACTGTTTTTTACTGAGTGTTCGTACTCACTTTTGCACTTTTGTGTACATTGTCTGAATTAGTGAACCATATATGTTCAGTAGATGTTTCCAGTGGGTTTTAGTAACCGATTTCATTCGTGATGAACATGAAGGCGAAGCGTACAGAAATGTTTCAACTTAAAGGGCTACTCTGTAAATGTGCCATTCTCTGGTGGGGTGATGGGAGACGCGGATTATCTAGCCGCTTGGCGAGTTATTGTCCAACCAGTTTTGGAGCAGTTCCAGCCGACTTTCATTCTCGTTTCTGCTGGTTTTGATGCCTGCAGGGGTCATCCGAGCACTCTAGGCGGGTACGTGCAACTCATGATTAGAATCATACTACTTGTGGGCCTTTTAAGTGGTATGCAGTTCCACGAGAGGCAAACTATAGGTAACAAATGAAACCACATTTTAGATATAAAATTTCGGCCGAGATGTTTGGTTTCATGACTCGTCAACTTATGGCGTACGCCGGCGGACGAGTGGTACTAGCTCTGGAAGGTGGCTACGATCTAGCTAGTATTTCAGATGCTGCCGAAGAATGTGTCAAGGTGGCTTAGTTTTATAGTAAATGTGTTTTGTGTTTTTGTATGTTTTTAGTCATTTTTGTGGTAATAGGTAGATTTCATCGCTTTTTTATCGTGAATTATTGCCTGTTAGTTTAGGTACTTTGTGGAGATGATGATAAAGCGGGTATTCTGAAGAACGAAGCATTAGAAGGCATTCCGTGTCTTAGTGCTCAAGAAACAATACAGAAGGTATTTTGTTCATTGCTATAGATTGTAATTTGACGTTCTGATGGTATGGTGGTTTAGTTTATCTATGCAGTTTTTAGGTAATTGCTATTCATAAAGGATATTGGCCAAATCTAACAGCTGAACAGGGTTTGTCAGTCAGCGAACTTCATTGGCAAACTGTTGGTAGACAATTTCAGAAGCTCACTATGGGAACTGTTTAGTGATGATAAGAATAACAATAACAGTAACATATGAAAGTGAGTATTGACAAGATGCCGCAGTATGCTTATGAGTACAGAGGTAGCACACATAATATAAATTAAGGTATAATGTTGAAGAGGAATGACCCAGACGTTGGTCATATATATATATATATATATATATATATATATATATATATATGCATACATATGTATATATAATTAATTTCGTTTTGGTTTAACGTTGATTTACTTATAATAGAGATCTCTTCAATTTTCCTCATGAGTGTTGTCTATCAATGTTATCGAATGCGGAATATGTACTTATGTTTCCTGTGATACCTTATTTATTTGGCATAATCACCTAAAATGGCCCATACGTGGAGATTTTCATGGAAATTCGAGAACAGAAAACGATTACTGAAACCAGTGGAGCTTAAAATGGATGAAACTCGTACGACTATTCGTCCTTGTGCCAAGTTTATTGATGTTTTCTTTTGATAGCCGACGATATTTCCTTTTGAAACATCGCGTGGGTGGCTTAGAATTCTTCCTTTACAAGAACAAACATCGTTCCGTAATGAAATTATTTTCCGTCGTATAGTTCTAGAACTAAAACAACATTTTGAACAATAGTAATAACTCTGCTGATATGTTATGCGATTTAGCAACTTCCTTAATAGCAGTCCCTGAGTAGTTTTCGATTGGTTGAACTGTGTACTTCGTCCACTATGGTGACATGTGTCGAACATAAGAAGTATCACTATTTGGTCTAGTCTTCTGTTTGTACTTTTAATCCTATGAAGTGTTGTTAATGCAGGTCTAATTGATTATAATGGTTTCATTGTCTTCTATGAATGTTTTCGGCATTCCTTGAATATATTTATATATTGCATATGACGAAGCTGTTTAGCATGTTACATTTGGAATATGTATATAATTTTTGAGTGTTATACGAACTCTTGTTAGATAGGTATTAAGAAGTTATCGACCTGAAGACAATCCATTTGTAACTAGCTTTTTCCAGTTGAGATTTGTCTATAGGCTGATTCTTTTCCTTACGTTGTGCACGAGTACTAAAATAACTTTCCGACCTCCCTTTCTGCTGGGTGTCGTGGTCACCACGGTCTCCGCCACTTGGGCTATGAAGGTGAGGATCGGAGTTGCCACTCCTTCATAGCGTCGACAATTTAATAGAACAATATTAATTTCATTAATGGTGTACTATTCAGTACTTTCCGTTTTTCTGTCTAGGAATAGCATTTCATCCGCAATTGTATTAATGTGGTGTGGTTCATTAGTTATTCTACTTTCCTTACCTCTGGATTCATATGTCATGTATTGAGGTGAAGCCTCATCTCATCTATGCAGAGGTGTTTTGTTTGTTTTTATTCACATCAACATGAACTACTACTATCAAATTGTGATTGGTGTATGCGATCAATATGTCATTTCAAAAATTTGACACTTTTTCTCCTATATTCCAATTTTCTATAAACAAATTTTATTTGTACACAGTTCTTAAGTTTAGATTGAAGCCGACGTGTGTTGGTGAGGGATTCCTATTTTTGATTTGTAATTAAATATTTCGACAGAAGGTGCTAATCGTTGGATCCGGAGAATCTTTAGCACTAAAGTGCGAGCATCGCCTCGTTAGTGATACACCATCATATTTACTTGGATGGCCCGTCCTCACTGGTTGTGCAGGTTCCAGTACAATTTCCGCTCTCCGAAGACCTGCTCGTTAAGCCACTGTGGTTCCCTGGCATTCCAAGGGTAACGGCCAAAGTCTGCCACAGCTCGTCACCACCATAGGCAGTCGGCGCCTTTGTGAATCAGAGGGATATTTTCTACCATGCGACTGGCTTGATACCACTACGGTGGTGAATGCTGACATTGGTTTTTTCTTAGCTAGGTTTCCTCATGGAAATGCCGGACTCAGTTTGCGAGACCCTGGCGAAGGGACGAATCACCATTACATAGGCAAAAAATTGTGTTGATTTTTGAAGTTCTTTCATTCTTTATCAAAGCAACAAAGATACTAACAGCAAATCATATTTATTATATATGGAACACTTTGAAGAGATTCTAATTAGTAAGGTCGTCGGAGAAGAATACTGAGCGAGACTTTATGGCAAAAGTTGTTAACCTACGCAGGTACTCTGGACGGCTGAGGTTTTGCCCAGGATTGGAGTTTTGCTTCAAAAAAAGTACGTTATATTGTTAGAACGCGGAAGTAACAAACTCAGAGACCTAGTGATTGACTTTTTTGCACTGATTAACACAACGTCTGAAGCTGGTTTTTGACAAATAACAGTAATTTCCCAACCACTAGGTATTTGAGGAGTCGAAAATTTTACAGATCTATGGAAGAGACTTCTATCATCGTCTTCATTCATGCGGCAAGAAGCCCCAGTTGTTCGTATTTAAAATGCGAGCCTTGACGAAGAAGTGGAAGAAATATGTGTCATACTTATTTGGATGGGCCATCTTTATTCGTTGTGCGGGCCCCAGCATAATCTCCATTTTTTTGGGTTCTGCTGCTTTAGCCATTGTGGTTCTCCGGAGTCCCGAGGACAGCCAGGCCAAAGTGTGCCCCAGTTCATCACTGCCACAAGCAATCCCTGCCCTTGTGGATCAGACGGAGATGTGCCACCATCGACTAGTTTGATACCGAGAGGGTGGTGGACCCTGGTATTGATTTATTCTTAGCTAGGCTTGCTGATGGAAACGCCAGAATCCTCGGCTTGGAATACTTTGCCAGGGGGATGAACCTCACGCTGTGCATCGCAGCCCGACACACGAACATTTCCTAGCCGCGATGAGGCGGTAAACCGTTGGGAGAAATATGTGTCGTAGGCTTCAGAAAACCACTGCTTACACTTCGTAAAATAAGACGGTTTCTACGCTACAGGCAGTAACGGTAGATTTTAACGATTTTGTTCCAATCAGCAACATTTAATGTATGATGAAACATATCTGCTTACAGTTGAAACGGGTTATTATCATCACATCAAATACCCTGTACCTAGTGCATGTCGGACTTTATGCGAAATGCATACTTTCTGTGTACAACACTAGTATAAGATTACTGTGAAGAGTACTAACCTGAACCGAAAATTAAGAAGATTATTCCCGAAATGACATTAAAGCCGCTGCAAACCATAAATGAGGCAACCCATTTATTACTGACACCCTGAAAAAGAGAATATAACGGTTAAGTGTCACAAGAACTGCTTCCATCTCATCATTTAAGTGTAGCAATTAAAATAAAGGATAAAGGATAAAACTCTCGGCGTTGATCAAGCCCTGGGGGATGTACCATGCAATTAAATGCATATTTGGCCTTTAAAATGACTCGCGGTGCTTTATCGATGTATCGAGCCAATGCTGCTATCCTCTCAGCCAAGTTTGGTACCAATATGCCGATTCCGGAGGTATGGAGGGCTTGATGAGACGCGGACGTGGAGATCGATCTCATATATACCAGGGTGACTCCGATCATTGCGCCACGTGCGCCGTTGCAGATGCAGTTAAATTGACGAACAAAATGAATTAAGATATATTGGCACATTACTTTTTCGCATAAAGAATCTACCATTTTAGAAACAATGCCCAACATCATGGGACCGGATATATTTCCGATTACGCCGAATATCATAGAGATGGAGGTAGTTGTTCCGGAAAACGATGGCGCGATACACAACACACATGTGAAGAATCCACAAATACCAGCAGAGAAAAACATGCCTGGAATAGAATGTTCTTTTGGATTTGCGTGTACGATCGCTATACTACAAAAAAATAATGTAAAAGATGAAACGATGAACATATGATGTACCATATAAAGCTAACAATGGAAGAGCAATGTTAGGATTATCACAGCTCGGCAGAACAGCCACTGCGACTAGCATTGTAGCTGAGCCAAATGAACCTCAAAGTACTAATAAGTAGAATATAAAATACATTCTTTATACTTTTTCAATACAATTGACGATATTTTTACGGACCAACACTCTGGAAAATCTTTGCACATTTTGTATGCCCAACAATTTTGTGTTCTTTGAGGTAGTCCGCAAAAATTCCAAGAATATTCTTCGAGATTAGTTGGGCGGTAAATGGGACCATTGTAAATATTCCATTCTGAAAAAACAACATAAAATTACAAAATAAATTAAATCTACCGAGTCATAAATGTTGGATAATCGGTTGCGATGGTAACGACTAACACGATGGAGTGGGAGCATGAGCTCTTCCTTAAGAAATGTTGGTAAAAAGGCTTGTAATATCGATGCTTGAAGGTTATAAGTGTACTGACAGAGCACTGCAGCTATTAATGGACGAGATGTGAGCATATCTCGCCATGGAACCGGTCCACTACACTAAACATACGAAAATTTGCTAACAAGAGTGTGAGTCCAAATTAAAACCAAGGTGTTGACTTTACTTTAGGACAGAATTTCATTGGACTTTGCCAATGGTGTCGTTTTGTAGTGGTATTATGAGCTCATAGATGAAACCAGTGAATGATCTCTCTAACTTACCTTAGCTTTCACATGTTCTATATGCTCTGCGAGGTATGAACATTCTTCTTTCGAAATAAACTTATTAGCATATGGTGAATTCGTAGCATATACACACCAGAGTACACACCATATAAAACCCACAGCACCGAATATGTAGAATATTATTGGCCAACCTGGATCGAGGGTACACAGAAACGAAGAAATGAGTGTAGAAAAACCTGCAGCCAACTGAAACAAAAGGAAACATTCTTTACCAACACCAGGATTATTCCTGAAATGACTTCTCAAAGTGGATGAACAGAAATACCTGATTACCAGAAGTATACATTGCAGCTACCGTTGACTTTTCTGTTTTCGTGAACCATTTCCCAACAATACATCCAAAACAAGGAAAAATAAAACCCTTAAATTTTGCATCTTGTTAAGTTTTCACCCCCAAATAACCAAGACATCTAACAGGCTTAATAATAAAAAAATATTTAAACCTCTCCAATACCCATAATTACTCGTGAAATGAAATAAGCGTAAAATGACCACTGGGCAAGAAATGGTGTCAACAAAGTTACGATGATGTAGTCACATGTGGCAGCTGTAAAGAAGATTATAAAGACATGACACCTTATGGAAGTGGCAAATAAAGTTATTCACATTGTTTATAAAGAACAGTTTCGTGCAATAAAGTACTGACTTGGATGACCTGTCCTCACTGATTGTGCGCGCCTAGCAAAATTTCCATTTTCTCGGAGTTTTGCTGGTTTAACTGCTGCGGATCTCGGGACTCCCGAGGTCAGCCAGGGCAAAGTCTGTCCAAGGTCGTCATCGCCCTTGTGGATCAGAGGGAGATTTGCCAACATACGACTTTGATATTAGGACTGTGGTGGATGTTGATATTGATTTACTCTTAGCTAGACTTGCTGATGGAAAGTCAGAATCTTCAACTTCGAAGACCCTGCCAAGGGGATGAACCCTACGCTGTACATCGCACCCCGACACCCAGGAACATCTCCTACCCACGAAGAGGTGGTAAACCATTAAGATGGCAAAAAAGTAAAAAAATAAAATAACGAGCTCATGATAAGAAAGAATTCATGGCGTTATATCTACCTATAACGATTGACTTTGCTCCATATCTATCTGCTAATGTTCCAGCGAAAGGAATTGTCACCATAGCACCGTAGAATGTAGCCGAGAATAGTATAGATTGCATAGCTGGACTCCATAACAAATCACCCTATATTAAAGTAATTGTGTAGTTTATATAACACAACCGCTAGTCAAAAGCGCATCATATTCTGCTAATAGGCAAGTAAACAGTAGTTTTAGGTATGGGAGTAATCTTAAAATTTGCAAAAGCTACTCTATACGTTGTTTGTTTGATGATGAGCAGATAAAGGTTATTAAAACAATATCTATTTCAAATTGGATAGTTTTCGAAAAATTTTACATGTCTCTACACCTCAGAACCTGGAACAGGTCACAATGATACGCAATTTGCTTCCACTGCTAAACACTTTCACATCCCTATCAAAGCGACTCAAATCTTGAATATCCATGGAATGGGAAACGGATTTTCTAACGCTGTTTTTCCAAGTTTCTCCCAGTAAGTGGAAGACATACAAAAGCGGTGCGTGTTTTAAAGAAAACTGAAAGAAGATTACCACGCGATTGAAATGTGGGTTTGTGTTCTTCTGTTACTTTATTACTTGACACTTGAATGGCCCGTCCTCAATAGTTGTGCGAGCCCCAGAGTAATCTCCATTTTCCGGAGATTTGTTGGTTAAGCCATAGTGGTTCTCTGGAAACCCGACGTCAACCTAGCCAAAGTCTGCCCCAGATCTTCACCACCACAGGCAGCCGCAGCACTTGTGAATCAGAGGGAGATTTGGCATCATGCGACTTTGATACCAGGACAGTGGTGGATCCTGGTATTGGTTTACTCTTAGCTAGGCTTCCTGATGGAGACTCCGGACTCCTTCTCAGCTTGAAAGACCCTGCCAAAGGATGAATCCCCCGCTGTACATCGCAGCTCGACATCCAGGAACACCGTCCAGCCACGATAAGGTGGTAAACCGTTGGGAGGCGAGTTGATTATACCGATCACTATATTGGAAGTAAACTACTAAATGCGGAATATCCAGAACTAAGATTAAAAACTACTATCATCCTGAACTGTGCAGTTCACACTTTTCCTGGAAAGACACCTGTGTCGATTTCGACGTCCTGATCAAAAATAACCATGGAACCGAAACATACGACGTACCGTATAACCAGCATCAACAGCCGTCTCGAGATCGTAATTAAGCGGTTCGCATTTCGTGGATGCTGTTCCGGTAAGAACACTATTTATCGGTTTCTCGGATGGAAATGCCGTTGAATTTACCATACAAACGACTGCCATGCTTAGAATCAGTCTCATAGACACAGTCGCGTAAAGTCCTATAAGCATAAATAGACGTACGAAATTTACACTTGCTGTTCACCCTTGTTCTCAAATTTTTCTTTCTCATTTAAAAGTTCAGCTGAAAACGATATATACCTGCTGTCAACAATATGCAAATCCATAATCGAGTTGACTTAAACGAGAACAACGGAAAATGTGGTAGCTTAGCTGTATGAATATCGTCAGATTTCGTCATAGTAGACGTCTCTGAAAAAAAAAACGTGTTAGTTTAAAGTCTTACTAAACCCTAGACATTTTTGCTGAAAGTGCAACACGATGTCAAGACAAAAGAAAAAGAAAGTGTTCTTCAACTTTAGGGACAGTTTCGTTGTTATCAGTTTAGCTGAACACTTAGCTTTTGCTTAAGTTGGATGCTTGCGGTGTCATTCGTTCTTTCACCGTTAAACTGTAGACATAGAGAAATTACAGGAGCTAACAGCTTCTATGTCTCCTCATCATTTTAGTCAAGTAATTTAATTAAGTGCTAAGGTCTTTATCGAATTTTAAAGCAAAATATTAGCACAGCGAGAGGGTAATGCCGAAAACACTTGTTAATCGATGGGCTAGTGGAAAGTGGTCTCTGTCGATTTGGTTCTCGTTAATATTACCGTTCCACAGGCGAGCCTGCCTATCGCAAACTGAATTTGCATAAACCCATTCCATACTAATGCAGAGTTATGACGAATTTCATCTATAGATCATCACGTGTGTTAAAAAGGATATGTTTAATAGTAAGATGTACGTGTGATTTTCGTCGCCTCACCGCCCGATTCATCTTCCTTGAAGTTTCGTTCGTCGTCATCAACTGAGCTGAGTATGAAACTTCGAGATGAGAGTGAAGATGTGCGTTGACTAGAATTCGTTCTTTCTACCATTTACACTACTCTGAAATGTAAAGTTGGAAAAAGTACTAGGAAAAGAGAATTCGATCAACACAATTGTATCCTGTTTAGAAGCATCGGGAAAGGAATATGAGTTATTTATCATGCTTCACTGTATGTAATGGTTACTGCAGACATACCGAAACTGGGAAGCACTTCTAGCAAACTAGGTAAGCCAAGACTAGGAGACTATTTTCATGACTTGCCTCGAAGATGAGGATAAAGAGCTGCATAACCCTTCCGTTATCATGGTTTTCTATACACAGGAAAGAGTAAGTTAAAAAAAGAAACATGACGACTATAAAGCAAACCATTAAAGCTCCAAAATCAAGAAATGAGATTGGAACGCCTGTGTAGTTCCTTGCTGTTGATATTCTCAACCAGAGATGCAAGTCCGGTATGATTCTGCGACCGGTGAAGAATCGTTGTAGATCCTAATATTCTTATCATAATTTTAATGCTCATGAAAAGTTACGTTATTGACAGATCCTAAGTAAGTGGTCCCAAATATGAATTCTTTAAGAGTTCCACTTCACTCTTTACAGAAAGGAATAATAAGATACTACTGTTATGGAATATAGCAAGTCAAAACACTTACTAGTAGGCGAAAAAGAGTTATCTGAGACAAAGGTTGATTAATTTTAAACCAAACAGATAGTGAGCCAGATTATTGTTCAATTTGAGGTGTGAATAAAGTGTAAAAATGATGAAATAATGATAATGAAATGATGAAATGAAAGATGAAGATGAAATGAAACGATAGTAGTAATGTTAATAATGGCATGAATAATAGGAAAGACCACCACATTTAGTAAACACACCTTTGATACACAATGATAGCTTGATAAAGTGACATTAACAATAACAATGATAACTACAGTAATAATAACGGTCAAATGAGAAGACACTTGAAAAGAAGAGTTCCAATGAACGGCTGGCTGCTTGCTTAGAAGCACGGATTGCATAAGTCGGAAAGCCTAACAAATCGATAATGTTGTCCAACGGCCATCCGGGTGCCCATAAGACGAAGTGCATAGAAATCTCGCATTTGCGAAAATTCCAGGTTAGACCTTTGGTTTCAATGTGAAATACAAGGCAATCGTGAAGTACTGACGATTAAGTTAGGAGACGTACGTTTACCAATATTTAAAACTTAATGTAATTAGTAATTACATTGTGATTTCGACTACAGCTTCAGCTTAACTGAGTTCAGTGTCAATTTGTGCTCCTCAGATCAATCCCGTTGGTGGGTGATTGCTAATTGCGCACATAAAACACAGCTGAGAGAACCGCGAAACGAAGGACCCACGTGGTGTGGTGGTAAAAGCGTTAGCACCCGAAAAGGGTAATAGCGCGGTCGTTCCCCACCACAGACACCTGCGGTACGGAGTTTTGTAAATATCTCAGCATCACTGTGGTTGTGTGACACATAATACCTTGCCGTTAAAAAATCAATAGGCAGTAAATAAAAAGTGACTACGTTGTTATTTATAACACAGCTTCAGTTTAACTGGGTTTAATAACGTTTTGTGCACCTCAGATCGGTCCTGATGACAGGTGATTACTGATGACACTGATCGACAGAACTAGCTGAGAAGCAGGCGAAACGAAGGACCCGCATGGTGTGGTGGTGAACGCTTTACTCCCCGGAAAGGATAATAGCCCGTTCGTTCCTCACTGCAGACAGCAGTGGTTCGGAGTCTTATACATTTATAGTTTTCGATAATATCTCGGCGCAATTGTGAGAATATTTGCTACCGTTCAGAGTACTCGTCGTTTCATCGTAGTTCGATGAGCCTTTCAAATATTCGGCGAAGCGATGCATGATTTCAATAACTTCGCATCATTTGCGATCACCTTGAAGCAGTATTCGCAACATTGTTTTTCAATGTTATTATTTAACCAACCAGTACTTATAGAATAGTTCTACCGGTCTCTTTCATGTGAAAGCCTTGCGAGAAGCCTAGACGAAGCATATGTATAAACGCTATGCAAAAGTTATTGTAATGTTCATTTCTTTTACTGCTTATCGCCTTTTTATGGCCAGGTATTATGCGAAATACAAACACAAGGGTGCTGAGATATAACAAAACTCGGAACCTCAGAGTGGTTTCGAACCTACGAGTACCTTTATCTAGGTCAAACGTTTTCCTTGCTTTACCTTTCTCTTAGCCAGGTTTTACTTTAACGGTGGTAACGGTATATTCGACGTAATAACCTGTTAAGAAAAGATGAGAGGCAGTTAATAAAGTTAGGCATTGTAATTCCAACTGCAGCTTCAGTTTAACTGCGTTCAATGCTCATTTCCGTTCCCCAACTCATTCACGTTGACGATTTATTGCTGAAAACGCCGTTGAAAAAAAAATGAGAAAGCTCTCGGTGTTGATCAAACCCTGAGGAATGTGCCATGCATTCGACTCCACTAAGCATTGTTTGGAGGTGAATGAATGTTTATCTGGCCTTAACAATGACTCGCGGTGGCTTGCTGATGTATCGAGCCAGTGCTGCTATCCTCCAAGACAAGTCTGGTACCAATTTCCCTACCTCGGAGTGATGGAAGGCTAGGTGGACCATGGGCGCGAGGATCAATTTCACGTGTGTGTTGCAGGGCGCCTCCTACCACTGCGCCACACGCGTCCCTTTAACGAAAGTACCGTTAGAGTAAAGAAGGAAGTGGCTGAGAGAAAGCTAAACCAAAGACCTCTTTTGGTGTGGTGGAAAAAACGTAAGCCTTCGAAAAGGTAACCGCGTTTTCGAAGCCCCATTGAAGCTTCGTGTGTTGCTCTCGTCTCACATCCTTGTGGTTGTATTATACAGTTGTCCTAGATGACAATTTGTTTTATATCTACTTTCTTTACCTATTTTGAAGTTTAGCTATTTGTACTTCCACATTTCGTAGGTCGCAACATGTGTAAAGTTTAAATTTGCTGGAAATTTGTTAGTTAAGAAGGTTTTTTTTCTCACAATAACAGACATGTTAGAATATTCCTCAGTTAGTATCCCAGGAAATTGCTGGTCCTGTTTGAGAGGATGCAGATTTCGCGTCTTGTCGAGAAGCTTGCCAATAAGCATTCTTGAGTAAAACATACTATTCTCTATAGCACCATTATTCTTTATGCCTTCTTATACGTGACTGATGTCTATCAGATGTGACGCAAGGATTGGCTGCAACATCAGCAACGATATCACTCACTGTAAACACTATGTGTCCACTATTATTTATAAATCTAAGGCACATATCTCTGTGACGGATACAACAGTCTGCGACAAGGATTTGCATTAATAACAGATAGAAGAGAATATTGTTTGCGCCCTCATAAAAAGTATTTGCCGACACAATACTGCCACATGAGGGCAATCCAGAGGTGAATAGCCTTAAGAAATTTGTCCATTTTCCCACCTAGCTTCTCCGTTATCCATTTGTAATAGAATTAAGCCACCGTACATCATGGTATGGAGTCTCTCTTGTAGCCGTTCACTTTGTCTAGCAACTAAGCCTGACATCACAACTCGATTTTATGCTTGCACCTGCACACATGGAAAGCCAATGTTTGAAAGACGCTCTGTGGTTTCTTTGAACTCTAACATCGGCAGGTGTCTGCGGTGAGGAACGAACGCGCTATTGTCCTTTCCGGGGAGTAGTGCGTTCACCATTATGCCATGTTCTTCGTTTCGCTTGTCTCTCAGCTAGTTCTATCGATCACTGCCGTCAGCAATCACCCTGAGTTAGGAGACAGGCGAAACGAAGAATCCGCATGATGTGGTGGTGAACGCGCCACTTCCCGGAAAGAACAATAGCGCGTTCGTTCCCCGCCGCATACACCTGCGGTCCGGTGTTTTGCAAATATCTCAGCATCATTGAATTTATCATTGTGATTGTTTGTATTCGCTTTATCCTTTGCTGAAGCTATAGTGTTCTTGTTTCTTCTATGTACTCGAAATGTATGAGAATTAGCCATGAACCATGTGAAAAAACTTGCGCTACGTCACTTGGCATTTCCAAGAGGTAAAGTATAATGTTACGTTGAGTGAAATGCCAATGTACTTGAGTTAGTTTTAAGTTGTATTCTGTTTTTAGTTCTCTTGGCTTTTTACCTTCGGTAGAAATGTAAAGTTATTAATTTCTTAGAGCACATTAGTCATCAGGGAATGCACAAAAACCACTCCACTTCCATTCGTATTAGGAATTCTCTTCCGAAATTGTTGCAATAAAGGCTAATTGGTACCAATAATCTGGATCTTTTCAGACTGTTCAGTCTACACAAGTCTGTCATCAAATTTTATTCGGCCAGCCTTTCGGCATCTACACCTTCTTCAGAGCCGGGGAGACCTGGATCGATTGTGCATGGTCGTTCATCCTCGCGATGTGGGTCTTCGTTATCGTGTGGATTGAAATTTTCTGAAGTGGACCACTACTCGAATGAGCAGTACTCGTTTTACAGAGAATACTTGTTGTTGATTGCCCACTAATCATGATTTATATTCATGAAGGCAATCCATCGTACAGTAGTCGGTTTTATATCATCTAGCATAGCGAATCAATATTTTCAAACCGTATATCATTCAACCTAGGCATGAAAAGTGAATATTTTCTAGATCGTCCAGCTCTCCCGCAGTTGTCACTAAATTTTATTCCATTTGAATGGTGTTAAACTTCGGAAGATTCGACTCGGCGAGACTACGAAGACCTACATCGCGTGAACGAACGGCTGTGGACAATCAACTCAGACCTATTCGGCATTAAAGAAGACGACAACGTCCAAACGTTAGTTGAATAAGAATTTGATATTAGCCTCATGTAAGTCGAACCATCTAAGAACTTATTGATTATTTGTTCCGAGATTAAATGATAGGAAGGGAAGGCCTCCTCCACAATGTTCTTCTCCAATCCACGTATTAACACCTAAGCTAGACTATGTCTAAGATGGCAGGAAGAATCGGCTCGACCGGTATTTTACGACATTCATAAAATGAGAGGCGAAACCACACGCAAAATATTCGAAGACCACTGTGGACGGTAAATGTGAGGGAAACGAACCGAATGCGAGAAGTGTTGATATTCACACATTAGATATGATGACGGGTCATGTAAGACAAAAATAAAATTGTGTGCTAAACGGTTTTGAAAACATTGAAAAGCTGGTTTACTACTGCGCAGTAGACAACTATCCAAGTTTTTGATTCTCCACAACAGCTATTACTGTCATATTTAGACTCATTTAATTTATCGCAGAAAACTCGCTTAAATTAGACCTTGCATTCGCATGCTTAACGATTTGTATCCTCGTGTTGATCATAATGTATTGATTCTATAAGCCAGGATTCATGAGCGTTAGAAGTTAATAGGTCCATGGAGTAAATACAGTATGAACATCGCCAATATGACCTTTGTTAATGTCGGTTTATTTTAGTTTCGTTTATTTCGCCCATTTATTAGCTTAGCCAGCCAGAATGTCTCTCAAAGTTTTTCTGGAGTAATGATATTCTACGTTGTGAGCAATATCTAATTCCTCATTTTACAAATGTTCTGCCTCGTTTTCTTAGAGCTCGCTTATATTTATAACCACGGAAAACATTGATATAAACGTTCTTCAATATCTTATGTAGTGAAAATGAAGCGCATAAATATATGTATATATACATATATATCATTCTGAAATACCGATGCCTTTCGATTTAATGGCACGAACAGGAGAACACGACTGCACGGTGCAAAAATCTCATCATAAGTGCTTGAAATTATCAACAGTTATTTTTAAATCAACAATCCCCTGCATTGAGTAAGGCTTTCAATCTATCCTGAGCATCGCCATCAGTCCAAAACATATCCTCATCGTCATGCACACAATAGGCTCCTGATTCATGGAAGCCGTGTGGACATTGTGAAACTGAAAATGGAAAACAGAAATAGGAATTATTATAATATTGTCACAGAATCAATAGTTTCCGGAAAGAACACGACTTACAGCAGCGCCCATACAACAGCTGACCGTTGCGACACTGACACTGTGCCACATTTTTGTCGCTCTTCATTTTTTCACAATATGTGTTTTCACAACGAGACGTACACTCTTCGTCAGTATTGCAACCATACTCACCAGGCCATAGTTTCCTAAGGCGCCAACATTCATACCTCGTGTTGCAAAAGAAAATAATAACGAAATTAATTCGAAGCCTTCTATTAGTATAACTATCAGTACTTTCTGTTAATCCACCAACACACTTTAGGAACAAGATCAGAGTGATTACAGAGAGGCCCCTCTTACCTTATTCGGACACGTTATTCATGAAAAATTGTGCATTCCGTAAAGTCATAAAAAACCTAGAAATTATGTTTGAAATTTCTAGAATACTCACGTTTTACACTCTCCGTTAATACATTTCTCATTTGGCAAGCAAGTGTTGTCTGGATCAAAGTCCAAATTCGTTCTATTTGCCACACATCTGCGCTCGGTTGCAACATTGAAGAAGACTCAAAGACAAAAATGTTATGCAAATAACATGTTCTATTACTAAAGATTCTTTGAAATTGTGGCATGTAGTAACGCAGCCGTCTGTTTGAAGTAGTTAAACCAATGCAGGAGGAAGTATTAGATTCAGATGTGCACGGTGAAAAGAGCTTGTGATACATGTGAAAACTAACGCGGTTTCTCAGTGTTATTTCCAACTGGAGCTACTATAGGCCGTCGACGGGCTGTCGATAAAAGCACGGTGCATGGGGATCCATACTGATCGCATCCATTTCTTGCCAATGTCAGAATCTGTGGAGACATTTGAATGCAGCTGGCACCATTCGATGCTGCTCCGTTAACACACGCACATATGCCTTGGGTACATTGCGAACATGATGTTGAATATCCGTTGCATTGCGTCGAAGCTTGACATTTAGAGCCAGGAATTTGACTATAGAGTGCCAGAGCTAAAAAATTTATGTTGACCTAGAATAGGTAGGAGACAGAAAACGGTTGGATACTCTTCGTTAAAACTCATGATGACTCCTTACCGTATCTCGATCTACTGCGAAAGGAATCGCTTTTTGTTAAGTTGGTCCTGTTTAAAGAATGACAGAGGGATTGGCACTGAGATTTTCAATACTACTCAATGTTTAAAAAATTCGTTTTTCGGTCTGTGATGTTACTTAGCTTTACACCTTTTGTTTTCAAAGATACATTATGCTGATTTAAAATGATTACCCACATTTGGAGCAGCAAGTTCCCATTACACAAGTTGCACCCGTCGGACAGGCACTGTTTGGTGAACACTGACATATGGCATTCGACTGTGTTGGGCACACCGGTTCCATAGAAAGCAAGCAACACCCTCCTTTATGCAGACTATTAGATAACGTTAATTATAAAGAGAAAATTGGTATATACCTAGCTGTGTACACCCAAACCCTGGTGGACAGTCTGCACCGCGGTTACATCTCTGAACTGCACGACCACCGTTAGGACAAGGAGGTGGTGGTTCTTGACAACAACCTCGCCCTGTTAATAATGCTATTTGTGTTTTAATAAAGAAAAATAGAATGGAAAAAAGAAAAAATAACAGAAAGTTTATGCAACGGGGCTCAAGCAATGGAACAACCTTCACAAACGAATCCTATTTGACAGCTGTTACCTATACCACACACTGAAGCTGCAATCAACCCCGTCGAGCATACTGGCATTGCACAACAAACTCCGTTTTCGCATTGCTAAATTATTATAACTCTCATTGGTACTTAGACATTTGTTTTCAAATAATTTGACCAAATCCTTATTTAATCGTGTATACACAAATTTAGAAGTGTACTAGTGGTTTTTTTTGGTGTCAAACCAGTCAAAATGGAGGAACGAATCCCTGTAGCCGGAATATATATCAAATTTATGAAACATACAACTTTCTAACACACATTAAATAAATTTTTTTTAAAGACTTAATCTATAGACGTAGATGGAGGTGCTTTTGGATGTTGGACTGCGATGTAAAGCGAGGTTTTAAGAGTTTCTCAAGCTGAAAGGGAGACCAACTTTCTCATTCTTAAGCTTCAGCTAAGAGTAATCGAATGCCAGAAATGGTCACCGTCCTAGCACCAAACTATTGCCGAAGCGAGAAATCTTCCTTGGATCCACAATAGCGACGACTGCTTGTGGTGGTGACGACCTGAAGGAGGTTACGGCTGAGTCGACCTCGGTAGCCTTAGTCCAATGTCCTGTCCAATGCTGGGCGCTCCCGTCTACGACATCAAGTGTTGGGAAAACTTGTAAGAGGCGATTAAATCTCCGTTTGCACTGGACGTCACTGAGAGTGAGAGTGGACAAAACGAGCCCGCTTACGACACACCATGAAGATCATTTCTTGCTCTGCACCTATATTACCCCAACAGTTTTTTAAAATGCGGGTTTTTATGTTCTTGTTAAGGTAGATGTCGCATTAGATGCCATGTAATCGACATACAAAAGACAAAAAAAACAAGACCAACATATGCCAACTAGACGAGAGAACACTTGCTGTTAATGGAGAAAAATTTATGTTACGCTATGCTGGAGGCATTGGCTTTGTCGTGCACTCAACTATTTCTCACCTATCACCTTATGCGAAATTCTATTACCGCCTTGGCCATCTTTCGTCTCCAAATTTCGAGTCAAAAGAAAGTGAATATCATCAACTGCTGCGCACTAACCGCCACAAGAAGTGCTTTTATAAATTCATTGTTGGAGACCTCACCTCCAGATTAGAGGCGGCTACCGAAAATGATTACAAGATAACGAAATTCGGAATAGGAGAATGAAATAAGGATAGAAACTGTTTTGTAAAACGACTTCCTTCAGCATATTTTTTTCATAGGATTTCATTTTCGAGGATGAAACTTCCTTTTGACATCTCCGCGGTACCTGACTTCCGTACTGGATCTGATCACAGCGTTCTCCATGCGAAGATTCGCTCCAGCCATAGGCGTGAAAAGAACGCCATCGTCCAAGAGGAACAAGGAAAGAAGTGCATGACTAGAATATTCGTAATGCAACGCTTTCCTCAAGCGATTGCCGGATAAAGGGCGATCCGACAGAGGGCTTCAAGTTGTTTTTCGAAGTACTTCACACTCATGCCGATATCTCGTCGGTTCTCAAAAAAAGAGGGTCGGACCATTCCTCTAATACCATTTGCTCAGAAAAAAAGGTTACTTAGGCCTGATCTGCCACGGACCTAACACCCCGACTTGTAAAAGATCTCCGCAGAAAGATTTACAGCGGCATGTGCAGAAAAAGTGATTGAAAGCAGCTTAAAAGCGATCCATTTTTAAGAAATTCCGTCGGTATCTTAGCGGCTACAATGTTACGCTATCAGCCCTGATGGATGAAGTTAGGACATCTTGCCATGATAAGGAATCGACAACAGAGAAAAATTTATACCAATCTTTTCCTCTTAATGAGCCCCTTATCGGACCCCTAAATCATCGGTGGTAAAAAAGTCTCCGGGGTTCTACGTTCTGAAAGTCGAGTTGAATAGAAAGGATAAAGAGAGGCGAAACTTCTGAACTCGAAATGTCATTGCCTGTTTCCTTAGAGCTGGCGGCCACAATTTACATTTGCTCCTCGCAAACCGGATGACATGTTATCTCTAAAAAAAATCCGAGACCAGAAGAGGAGGTCACGTTCGGGCATCCAACCCCAGAAAGGTAACCGCAGGAATCTTCGTAACTACTGTCCAATATGCTCGTTGGACGTATTCTACAGGCTCTTCACGAAGATGATTCCTTCGCGCACATGGAAGACCTCTGGTGAGGCACAACCAGTTGGGCAATCAAGACTCAATCAAGGATTTCGCCTTATGGGTTACATCCAAACTATACCACGAGTCATAGAAGTCGGTCGAAAGTACCACCTGTCGTTTATTTTTACCTTTATCGACTACGAGAAAGCCATTCACAGTGTCCAAACGAATCCTGTCCTATCAGCGCTCATCGAGTAAGTAGTAGACCCACTCTATATGTGAACAGTAGCTGAATGTTATCGGAAGTTCAGCACAAATATACAGTTTTTTCATCCATTTTTCATCATATTCATGGAATGGGAGGCTCGGCAAGCCGGCACAACAATGCCAAAGCTGTTTACTGTGCACTGCAGCGAATAATGAAGTCAGTTAATTGCGACGAGAACGGCATACTTCGTAGTAATGGAAGATTTCTATCAAATCTTCGTTTTGCGGATGACATCGCCATTTTTTCGAGGAGTACCAGTAATGCAGAGGCGATGCTCACTGTGTTCAACAAAGCAGTGAAAAACATTAGACTCTCTATAATTAGGACGAAGATCCATTTCCTGAAGAACTGAAGAACTCATAGCGCTAAGGCGAATAGAATGAAGTGTATGGTTCTCTGGTTACGAAGACCACCTCCTATGTGTACCTCGGACGTCCAATGACCATGGAGAAGAATGCAGAGGAGGAATTACACCAAAGAAGGAGAGCAGCATTAACCGCATTCGGGCCTCTCAGTGGAGCTGCCAACCACTTCACGGACCCAGAATAGAATGCAGAGTCATACGGTGATACTATAACCAAATCGAGAAATCTGCACACCAGCCACAAAGCCTTTGAAGATCTCTTCTGACAAATAGCCAGCACACACACACATACACACACACACACACACACACACACACACACAAACAATCTTGCCGGAATGCGAAACTTAAGTCTTCGAAACCTATCACATTTTCGAGGTTTAGCAGAATAAACATCGATGGCGAAACGCAGATGGTTCGATCATTAAATTATAAAGACAGATGACAAATGGACGAAAACATCCGTAGATGGAATCGATTTTAGGAATTCGGAATGGCCTAGCAGTCGTCACTATTCCATCACCATGGATAAAAACTGCGCGAGAGGGAAACGAATGGAAGGTGTTCTGGGACCCGCATTACCAATGAAGACGGTCCATCCAAGCATTCATGAAAACAAGTACTAGATGAATTCTGTTTACATGATTAGATCTGCTCACTATACTCTTATTTCACTAGTTTAATGCAAACGATGGCTTCCAGCAATAAGGAACCATCTCGCATCTCTGCTGCTACTAAAATTAATCTCGGCAATTACTCACATGTCCACGGGCGCATCCGATGCCCATTTGGCAACGCTGTGTTGGCTGAAGTCCAGAAGGACAACGAGGAAGCAGACAACAACCGCCGCCGACACATTCCATGCCGATGGGACAGGAACGAGCACCACCACAAAGGGAAAGAGCGAGACCTCCTGCAGGTAAGAAACAAAAATTCCCGAGACTATCGAAAGCTTTGCCAGATCTAGAAAAGGTTATCGATGATAGCTCTTGAAAAATAACTCTTCTTTTGGAAAAGAATGTTGTTGGCTTTAGATACAGAAGAAATAGAAAATTTCAGATTACGAGCAGTATCCACCTTCATTGTGAAAACAAGACCCATCCTTCTTATACTCACAATAAACCTTAGTGTTTTTTCTTTAGTAAAAACTCTTTTCACATTAGTTTTGGTAATTCACAACGCAAAAAGGAGACAGAAAAGGAAGCATTGATCGCTTCTATTCTGCGAACTCAATCCTATTTTTAGTCAATTATTTCGTTTACAGTTGTGGTTATGCAGCAGCTGTATAGAAGTGTAGTTTCCTGATTTTCGCTTTTCAGATAACAGAAACATTGGTTCATCATTGAAAGACGTACTTTGATCATTTTCACCTCCTCGGAATATGCTCTGAATTTTCTATTTTTCGACTATCTTAGTTATTAGTTCGGTTTCCTGCTTATTAGCAGAAAATTCCTCAAGTATCTGAGTTCAATGATAACTTTAAACCGTAAACGAACTAATTGTGGGGTTGAAAGGAACTTATTCGACCAGTGTAAATGGGATGCAGAAAATTGTCTGGTGCTAAAAAAGTTTTCAGTTGTATATTTTAAAAAACTGTGCGCTTCCAGTAGAGTAGGAAACTACCTGCGGGGCATAGTGGTAACGGACAGCAACCGCCATTCATACATGAGTGACCAATCGGGCAACAGTTTGCACAACCGAGAGCGCATCTACAATACTATTGACAAACTATCATGAACAGGTTGAAAGATTGTATTACGGAGTTAATTATTCTATAGAAGAATAATCGAAAACAAATATGTTTTGACATTATATACGAAAAAATAAGAATAGATTAACGACTACAAATTATTAGCTTCTCCTGAAATGTATGCACGACTCCAGCTTGTATTCTCAAAGTGGAATATCTCAGTTCAGAATAAAATCCATTAATCGAATTAAAAGTCATTAGAATCTGTACAGCCAGCGGAGAGGAAATTAACTTTTTTCGGTTGCATTGTATTCTTCCTGATTTATAGAGGCGATGAAATCGTTGAAGACAATCTCAGACTCTATTTAGTTTCTATAGTTCTCTATTGTAATCGTTTTACCAGCATTCACGAAACTGTTATTGATTAAACCGGCCTAAGACCATCAAACGGTCAGTGTAGCCATTTGGTGCAATTTTGGCTTTGTGAAGTGTTGCGAAGTTTCATCACAGTAGAATCACCTAGTCGATCGCGGACACTTATCATAGTGGAACGATTTCTTGTTGTATGTAACAATACGGTTGAAAAGGGATCGCACTGGAAAGAGATCATAAGAAGCGCCGACGATACCTCAGAATGGTAATTTCATTGATTGTTATTCAATTCGTACTACATCCATTTGCCGAGCTTCTTCGGCTTTCTAACTTTTTTGTAAGCTCCAGAACAGGGACCTAGGCGAACTGCCTCGTCTTGAAGGTATCCTGCATATTGTTAAGGAACCGGAGATCTTTGAAAGTTTTATAACGCCGTCAATGTACATCCCAACACCAAAATTATGAAGCAAACTTTAGTACCTTTGGATTGAGACAATATTATTAGAACACGTAGGTAGAGGGCAGCAAGCTCCATTTGCGCATTCCACGCCCATTCTGCCACAATCCAATGATATAGTACAAACACCTTAATAGAGCAACATAAAGATCCATTATACCATCCATTGATGGAGTACAAACACATGAGTGGCGCACCATAAAAACTGTGATAAATTGCTGTATAAAAGATTAGTCTGAGAATTGTTTTGTCTAAACACCTAAGTGATTAAATAAGAAAAGGTCAATGTATTTGAAAGGATGCAATAATTTCATCCTTCCAGCGGTTTACTGTTACAACGTGACTGGGATTTACATGAAACGACCGAAAACCTCCAATAGTGAGAAAGGCATTTCATCAGTTATGTGTTAATATGTGGGCGTGTGTGGCGCAGTGCTTGGAGGCGCCTTGCAACACAAGCGTGGAATCGATCGCTGCGCTCCTGGCCCACCAAGCCTTCTATCCCTCTGGGGTCGGCGAATTGGTACCAAACTTGTCTGGGAGGATAGCAGCACTGACTCGATAAATAGGTAGGCCACGGCGAGTTATTGCAAAGGCCAGATACGCATTCAATCACCTCCAAACGGTGCTCAGTGAAGTTGAATGCATGACACATCTCTTAGGGAGTGATCAACGCCGAAAGCTTTATCCTGTTTATTGTTTATGTGTTAGTGTTAGCTCTGTTCATTTTGAAAGGCACTTTTATATGAACCGTTGCTCTTCCTTTTGAGGAGATTGGACAATGTGCTACATTTCGACATTCGTAAATAGGGTATTGTGTTTAACGTTATCAACCTAGTGAGATAATTCCGTTTGGACATCGGGGCAGAGGACAGCAGAGTCCTTCCAGGCAAACATATCCTGTGGGACACACCATATTATGAAGTGCACAACGCATCTGTGCCTGTAATTGTTATACTAAAAGTTCAAATTCTTCTTTCTTTGTTTGCCTGTAGTTCAAAAATAGTGCAAATCTTAACTGATCCAGGCATCACCTGTATTCCTGTGGGACAAAAAGGCATTGGGCAACATCCTCCGTTCGAACATTCCATTCGCGGACCACATTCCTTGAGCAAAATTTTGATTAAAAGCAAAAAATGCTGTTTTGGATGTTATTACTAAGCATGAATATGCAGAAAATGGACTTCAAACGATCATTCTATTCACTATCAGTTCACCTGTAGTTATAAAAGTTTTCCATATTAAATATTTTCCGATTCTCTCATATAAGTATCATCTTCCTGAAATTAACCTAACACCACATTTCTTTTCTTCCTTTCTCTCGAAAGGACTTCCTGTATTGCATAGGAGTAATACGCGTACCAGATCTACCAAACATCTGCGTTGTGATTGCTGACCATTAGCACAAACTGGGAGTTTAACTACTTCTTGACAACAACAACCACCTGGCAGGTAACATGACCCACTTGCACAACCACCAGTTGTGCAGAAACCGAGTGCAATCTAAACAACGTTTCATTTACAAGACATTATCGCAGCATTTTTAAAGACCTCGATGACAATAAAACAAGCCTAGGCTGTCAAAATTCTAGCTCACCTGGCCAACAGGACAGATCATAGGACAGCAGGCTCCTTGATAGCATCCATTATTTGGTGGACATCCTGCGGAACACGGTTGCTGAGCCGGCGCACCGTCTGTGAAAGGTGATTTGTAAAATAATTGTGAAAACTGGAAAAACAAGACGCTATCATACTGGTCGCATTTTCAAAGTTCCACACAATCCTGTGGGACTCGTGTAACCTAGGGGTTAGAGGCTCACTGCGATTTAAACAGGAACGGTTCTTGGTTCGCCTCAGTGTTCCGAACTAATAGGTTCTCCCACACATCCTGGCCGCCAACGTTCAACCAAATCTTCCTGTGAAGAAGAAAAGCACTGAACTAATACAGCGATATTACCAGCAACTCATTTCACAAGCCAGATAAACATTTAAACAACTCTGAAATGCTTAGTCGAGTTAACGCCGATCGCTTTTACGATCTTTCTTAGCGTATTGCAATACAACCGACTACAATAAAAGGATAAAGGATAAAGCTCTCGACGTTGATCAATCCCTGAGGGATGTGTCATGCATTCGACTTCATTAAGCAACGTTTGGATGTGACTGAATGCAAATCCGGCCTTTACAATGAATGATTGGCGGCGGCTTACTGATGCGTCGGGCCAGTGCTGCTATCTTCCCAGACCAATTCTGGTAGCAATTTGCTGACCCCGGAAGGATAGAAGGCTTGGTCGGCTATGGGCATGTGGATCGATTCCACGTATGTGTTGCAGGGCGTCTCCAAGCACTGCGCCACAAGCGCCTCATCGGTTACAATAGTTTTCTGAATCAATTACTAGTGTTCAACCTCCATGTGAGATCCAGTAGGCCTTTAACTGCAGTATTTGGACTGTCTCCATAAATTTTAAGAGGAAAAGCAGCGGTATAAATTATACTCACTCGGACATAGCTGGAAAACGTTGTAAACAAAATCAATTGAAGGTCGAGTCACAACTGGACAGCAGGCATTTATAGCTGTATTGCATGATGCTCCAACTGGGCATGAACCGCACGGGCCTAATGGAGATGACAAGGAATCCGGACACAAAGCTAAATACGTTGTACATAAACGTCACTGTTTGACTTCAATGATCTAGAAGCCTCAGAGTAGATTTGGGCTGTACATACCAATCTGAATCGTTTGAGTCGGCTGATTTACGGGAACGGGGCAGCATCCGATTCCTGAGGCGCAAGCAGAATCTGAAGAGTGGTACTGCTCACATATTTCGGAAAAAGCACTTTTTTGAGACCAATAACAGAAACACTTCAATAGTGTCAAAAATTCTGCATTACATAAAATCATATTTGTTGTTCTAGAGTGTTTAATTGAAGGCCATACATTGTGGACAAGGCTGGCTACAAGACGCTAGTGGCGGTACGTTGGCTCCTGGACACACTAAAAACGCTCCGAATTAGTCGATTTGTTAGCTGTTCAGCAACACAAAAAAATAGCTGCATAATGCAACCTACGCGGTGCTTGGTGCTGAATAAAATTGTCAAGGACTTCTTTCTCCTGGCAGCAAACATTCTAAAAGAACCGGTGCAAAATTATAAAACAGAACCATTTTCTTAATCCTTCTAGAGATGACAACTGAGGTGCATGCAGTTATTATTGTATCGTTATAGCTGTGTCATTCACTAGTGTTATGAAAAATGTATTATCTATTTGTATGACGAAGAACTTATTGGAAGAAGTCACCTTTGTACACCTACTTATTCCAGGACACTGAGTTGCACCCGTTGTCTGAGAACAACTGCACACTGCTTCTTGTTGTGGTTCACATACTGACCTGTCTACTGCCATCGATACGCATATAGACGAAGAAGGAGAAAATATTGTGTTCGGGGCACATGGGATACGTGTCCATTCCCCGCATGCTGCACTGGAACAGAAATCTTTTTTTATCGAACAGATGGCAACAACTGTTGTAAACAAACTGAATTACCCTTTATAGCTTTCTTTCTAGTTTGAAAACAGAACAAAGCAAATAAGTAGTAAAATAATGAAGAGATTTGATTACTGGTGCAAAGTAAAGAAAAGTAGTAGGAACGTTGTAACAGTTTCGAAATTCTGTCAGTTTTACCTCATGTATTTGCTTAATAGTTTACTGTGCTATCGGTTGAGGAAGGGATAATGTTCCCCTGCGTCAAATCTCGCTGCACAACAGAGGTCCTTCTCCTCAGTAGAGTTTTCCAAGCTGAGAAATGGCTAGACATTTCAGACTACAAACTGACTAAAAATTTAACTATGCCATAGTAAAGCTCAATGAGCCATTCTGGGTTACTTTTTTGAGGCACTTTGTATCTTTAAAGTCGGCTTAACCCAATGGGAACCCTTGAGGCGCGAACGATAATTCGTGAGCACACGTGGCCGATCAAACCACTCAATGATTAACGGGAATACAAGCAGTGTTTACAAGTAAACTTTATGTGTACGAAGGAGAGAACCATGTTTTCTACAACCTACACTTAGCTCATGTGCTTAAAGAGGTAAATGGCACCATGAAGGTATAGAAGTTAATCTTGAAAGTGAAACACCTTCATTTTAAACACATTGGCAAAGTAACATTAGCAGTTCTAACAGTGCTGGCAGGATTTGCTTACCTGGACGATTGTGGAGAGCACTGTATGAAGTGGGCATTACTTGTAGGATCCAGTTTTAAAGCAGCTTCTTTCCAATCACACGGTGATCCAATAATTGGCTCCGATAATGCACCTACAATCCGAATGAAGATCAACTATTAGGAAATGTACTACAGGCAGATTCATTCCACCTCAATGCCGAACGCACAGCTCTGTTCAACGTTGGCACATATTCCTTTAACAAATGCTTAAAATATTTCATAACACTCACCACTGCAAGGTACCTGACAATCAACAGTAGAGGGGTTCTGAACACAAGTGGTTTGTTGACGTCGTACCGTTCTTGTTTCCAGACATTTTTGACGTACTACGTCAAACTCATAGGATTCTGGGCAGCCCCGTAAATTCCAAACACCCAAGTACTTGTCGGTCAGATTATATTCGGTCGCCTACAACATTTTAACAAAAAGAAATTAGAAAGAACATTAATCACTACTCTTGAAACAACAAAGAGTGTGGGGGAGAGAGAGCAGAGAAAGCGGTTGTAATACTGTGCAGAACACAATCGTAAATATACTGTAGCAATGCAAGGAAGGCCACAATTTATGTTTTTTTTAATCATCGTCTGCCCTTCGCAGCTTTTCCAAGCATTTTTAAAATAATTATTACTTTTATTCCAAAGGTCATGCTGGTTTTTGCAGTTTAAGTTAGCGATCAGTTGATTTTAATTTCTTTGAGTGGAAATTTTGATCATTCGGTAGAGAATAACCGGAGTGATGATGCATATTGCATTTAATTAGAATGCATTGCATCAAATTCTGCCAACACTAAATCAGTGGGACGTTGAGGACTAAAAGTCTTTGATTACATTTGAACAAGATATGGCATACCTCTTCCTGAGCCAGCGGTGCACATTCGTAGAATTCATTCGAATTATCCGCCACTCGGTAGAGTTCTACCGTCATGCACATTCTACCAGAAAGGCAAATGGCTTCATAAACTGGAAAAGAGGTTTGGTTTATTGCTACCCTTTTACAGTGATGTAGGTATAAAAATATGATATATGTTGAGAATTAAATCCGCTCTAGGGTGTTTTGAAATAAACTGGCTTTATTACGTTAATAACGGTTATTTTTTCTCCTAAAGTGCAATATTAAAATTAGAATGATTTATTGAGACAAAATGCACATTTAATGCATTCCATTAGAAGAACGAAGGTGGTGTGCGGTGATGTCTCACTTAACAAGCAGCTTCCGAAACACCTTCTGCTGTTTTTTTTTTAATATTCTGCGTGTCGGAAAAGCCACCAGTTAATGTCTTCACATTTGTTGAGACTTTTACTTATTTCAGAAAAACTCGGCCATCGATTTTCTGCTTCTTCTGTTTGTTGTGCACTTAAACTTAATACATTTGAATAGGAGTAGCAATAAGAGAGAACGCAGGCTCTCCATAAGCTGTGCATCAATTCAGCAGTCACCATTTTCTCCCCTTTATGGCATAAAAAACGTTTGTTAGCCGCGAAAATTCTTACAGCTTCCCACAGACGAGCTATAGAACTGGACAATACAAACAAAGGCGCATTTTCCAATAGACGGAGAAGTGGGAGTTGACGGAGTGGAACGAAAGAACATATGGATCGTGTTTGCATGTTGTTGGATCAACGGCGTCCTTCTCCTGACACAGTGTGAGTGATCACATCCAAAACCGCTGCACTCGGATCATAGAAGACATATGATGTCCAGAAAATGAAAGAAAAGTAAATCAAAGTGAAGAATAACGGGATGAACCAGGAAAGAAAGTCGAGGAGAAGTCTGCTGGGCTAAATTGAGGGAAGATGGACAGGGGACGGAGGTATTCAACTACCTAACCCAGGGGTTTTGGAGCACGAAGAGGTTTTAAAACATATAAAAAATATGTTTTACTTCTGTCCACAATTATGATAAGGTGTTCAAAGAAGGATATGACTTTACTGATTATGTGTGCACTTAGTGACATTAGTGTCAACTGCAAATCGTCAATGATTAGACCGACATTTTTGTGAACTAATCGTGGCATACATGGAAAGAGCAAAATTCTTCTTTAACTAAAAGACTGGAAGTGGAGAAAAACGCAGTGAAAAAAAGGAACCCTGGCATAACGAAAAAAAAGGTGTGCTGACATAGCGAAATGTGTTACTATACTTAGTAATAGATTAACTGCGCCTACTTTTTATTTCTCATCTAGTTACAACTTTTCGAACTTCCGTGTCCTGTCATGGTGAACCATTTCTCCTGTCTATTTCTTCTTATCGGCTCGTCAAAATGTTTGCAGACCTTAGTTCAAAGCATTTCTACTTATGTACAATTTCTCGACAAGAGTTTACACTCCTAGTGTCACCTTCTTAATAACCAAACTCAACAAATAAGAAAAACTCGCATAGCCTGGTCGAAAAACGCTTGAATGTGCCGTTGGAAAACAGTACACAAAGGTCACGCTCGCATTTAAATTTTTAAAGTTACGCTTATATTTAAAAGTAAAGAGATAAGGCGCTTATTCAAAAAGGAGTCTTTCGATAGATACACCATTTTAAGTAATATATGAAAATTAAAAAGGAAAAAAGGAGTGGAAGGAAGGACCGCGTGTTTCTATAAAAACACACAAGTCTCCTAAAATTTAAGAAGCTAGTAGCTAAAGATCTTGAAAAATCACAAAATCAAGTGGTGTCGCTGCTGAATCGAAAAGTTGAAAATTATTTTTTATCAACTTACTTGTTGTTAGTAGCAGTAGTGCGGATTGTAGAAGGGGCGTCATGAATCACTGCCCCGAAACTTGTCTTAGCTTTGGCCTCTTATTTTGGTTTCAGTGAATGTCGACCTGCTTTGGTTTTAAATACTCGTCGCCTCACCGAGCCGGAGTCGAACCGGTCCCGATCCCCGTGTCAGGCTTGCTCGGCGAGGATGTGTCACTTTCGTGCACTGCTGAAATCCGGAACGATTACTAATCACAGGCTATATTTGCCACATTTGCGTTCTTCAGTTTTAGTATTATTTAAACCATGGTCTGTGCTGGAGCATAATAGTTAAAGATGAGCAACGATTATGTTCAGAAGCGCTTCGTGGGTCCGATTGCATGCCTTGAAATAATCAAGTTTCGTGCCCTTCCGGGTTCTGCAAATTACTATGTAATTTATCTGAGAGAATAGAAAATGTTTATATCGATGTGCACCCGGAACTTGCTGTACAGATCAAATATGCATTTAGTCGCATCTGACATGTAGTCTAGCTGACTATGACGCATATCTGAGTGATTCGTTAATGTCAAAGGACTTGTCCATTATCCATATAACACACTGAACCCTGCCCTTCCTTCCATTCATGGCCTTGGAAGCGAAACATCATGATATGAATCACGTATTTAGTTAGCGAGTATAACATTTTGCAAGGTCTGCCATAAATGGCGCGAAGGACGCTAAATTCTGAACCTTCATGCCTGATTGGTTGTCATGGTGAACCATTTACTGAGACTGTACATCTCCAGTGAATTTTGTAGAAAATTCTAAGCTATTTTGGCTTTTTATTGTCTTTTCACATACTAGAAACAGAAGACAAATTTGCATTGGTGAGGAGGTTCAGAGCACGGAATCTCTAGCTCTGTAAAGAATTAATTGCTATATAAACGCAATGTCATACAAGACTAGCTTTAACTGCAGTAATACTCCGATTGGTGCTCACGAATGTGCCATGTTTCGACTTTCTTCATCGCTTTTTATGAAGCAGTAAACGGAAATTGTCGCGATCTTCATGAAAGAAATGTAGAAACAAGACGGATAATGTGCCTAAGATCCACAATGATTGTTGATAGTCTGTGATAACGCACCAGCACGGCTTTCTCGTAACCTTAAGAGAATGCTCACATTGTGTAAAATATCGGGCTCAACATCCCATATGGTAGGTGTTCTCATCTATGAATTACGTCGAACGATGAAACTGTCGGTGAGTAATAGATGATTTAACCAAATGTTACAACGGATATCGTTAGCTATGAGCTAAGACAATATTTCCAATAAAGTATTAAGTGGTGCTGGCTATTTCTTGTTCTATGCGTGAGAAAACAGAACATATTTTTCTAACCTAGGTCTTCACGCTGTTTTTGTGGCTACAAGACATATCTAATTCTTCGTGATCGCCATATAAGGATTCAATGACCGACGTGCGCCTTTTAAAATGCGAGACACTTGTCGAGACACGGGAAAAATTCCTGTAACCTTTGTTGAGCACACTTTATTGGTAGCGTTTCCACAGGAAACTGAGATAATAATTAAAAATGTCATGTTGGGTTGATGTTCACATCACTTCATTTTCATGACGATGAGTTTCTTATGAAGAAGGAAAACCACCTCTCAACGTGTGAACCACTCAGTTGTACGACTCTTGCGGGGATCGATCACGTCCTTGTATCAGGAAGACATATGTCATTCACATGTGATCATTGACTGCCATATTATATCTGGAGAGACTTCCTTTAGAAGACCCTTTGCAATCCATGTAGAACCATGCAAAAACACACAATTTCACTCCAGCATCCTTAATTTTTAATTATTAGGTTGGACCGTATTATTATCGTTAATTGTTGTTCACTAAGGCTCTCACTGATACGGCAAAAGGAGGTGCTCTCTTATCAGATGAAGGTGACTTTCAGGAGTAAAAAAGTTTTTTTTTTACTAAACCTTTTCGCTAAAGAATTCATTGCTGAAATGCAGACAGTATATGATAGAAGATAGAGAATCAGGAATTAAAATGACCATGGAAATGGTTTTGCTGGAGCTCAGTCTGCGGAACTTCTATGAGAATTTATAACGCAGAAACGAATGGTGTCGTCGTTGAACAAATAAGTCGTATAATGACGAGAATTGGTTTGACGAACACATCAACTTTGCACATTAACTGTCGTGAGTTCCGAGAAGGGCGTTCCTCTCTAGCATCTTGTCGATGTTTTCTCGTCTCGTTTAGTTCGGCAATGTCTCAATTGTTTTCCCTAGTTTACATCATTAGGTCACGGATGGTGGCTGTCTTTGCTAAGGTTTGCGTTTTGATAATAAGCAAAGATCATCACTGCAATCCTTACAGTTCTAGGTTACAAGAAATGTTGATGAATCTTTATCAGACTTTCTCTACATTTCCTTCAAAAACAATCGTACCCTTCATGGAACCATTAGACATCGGGAAGGCAAGGTTGTCTATTCTTTTTGTTTTTAGTATTTGGTGAGTGGACGTTTGCCCAGAACTCCTAAGGTGTATAGATTATTTATTGTTGGACTTGATAATGAAGAGCTTTGTGTGGAAGCTTAATTCACTGGACTGTGAACAGCCGAATAGAGATTACGATTTATATACACGCGAAACCAGGTATATACGAATTAACATAGCTACGTACGTACAAAGGCATAAATTAGTCCAGCAAACGAGAAACTAGTGCAACTATTTTACACGAGACTGAAAGCAATTACAAGGCCAGTTTTGGTCGACTTCCTGCCCATCATTTACGAAAGGTGTGCTCATGTACATTCTTAGTTAATTCCCCTCAGCTCCATCGTATGAGAATCGCCCATGGGTTTATGCTTGCATTTATGAGTCGTAGTTCTTCGTATCACCTAGAATTTATTTTCACACTATTTTCTGCTGCCAAAAGTGTTCACAAAACCGATTTTTGCTCCATGAATACTATCAGTGCCATACTATTAATACTATTATAAAATATAACTTCAATGATGCTGAAATATTTGCAAAACTCCGGACCGCAGGTGTATGCGGTGAGGAGCGAACGCGCTATTGTCCTTTCCGGGGAGTAGCCCGTTCACCACCACACCAGGCGGGTATCAATACTATTAGTTCATTTTCGACTATGTAATATTTTTTCTCTAAGCTTTGCTAAATGCCGCATTCTACGTTTCTTATCGGTTGGATTTACCCCGCTTTGTTTTAAATTATTCAGAAATTTGTTGATTTTTAACTAATCAGGGTACACAAGGATTTCTGAGAAACTTTACCAATAAAGACTTCACGAGGAAACCTCATAACTGTCACACATGTAGTAGTGTAGCTCTCTGATATGCTAAGCCTTTCATAAAACTAGTATCTGGAGTAATGTTAATATTTAAGGCGTAATATGGGAGATGTCTGTGTGTGGATAGTAGTGCGTAAGGCTGGTCAATGCTCAGCACCTAGGCAACCATTGCATTGTTACCATTCCCCTTCTAATAATCCGTTTCTACACTTTAACAACGTGAGTGTGTGTGATGTTTTGTGTTATTATTGCGAAACTCTTGCCGTTTCCCTGCTCTTCTTCAGCTTATATGTGTATACAAAATTTCAACTTTGACATGCGACCTCATGAAACCACATGAAAAAAAATGTATGAATTAATAATATTGTGCCCCACAAAGAGTACCAAGCAGTTTCTTCGTTGGCATTCTCAGTTGTTATTAAAGTGAGGGACGCATAATTTTCTATATTTCAATTTAAAGTGCTCCAATATTGACACAAGTTTGCAAAACAAACGGTGATCGACCACCTTCGGTCACACGGAATTCGAGTTATCTCAGATCTACTTTAAGCCTTAAGAATATCAACAGTTATGTTGACCGAAGTTGAGGCCTAGAACGTTTCTAATTTTAGTCTATGTTTTTTTTTTAAAAGTTTTCCAGCTCTGTATCTCAAGATTCTCTTTAATATCCTATCGGGTCTTTCTGGATAATGATGTACTTGGATGTCAAACAGCCACTTATAGCAACGGGTTTCTTATCACGCGAGGTTCCCAGATGCTGCAAAAAATTAGCTTTAATTCGTTTGACCCAACGTAACATGTTGTTTTGATATCAGCACTTGCTGCATTCGATTCGCTTTCTTGCTCCCATTATCCACAATGTTCTTCAAACCGTTCGAACTTTTTATTTACTGCCTAATCTTTTTTCACAGCACGGTACGATTGAAATACAACCAAAGGGGTCCTGAAATATAAGCAAAGCACGGAACCTCACGTGGGCTTCGAAACCTCAACTACCCTTGCCTGAGCTCACCGCTATCGGTGTGTTTACAAATACGATATTTTGACTTCTAGTTTCAACGTTTTCCAACCTTTCGAAAAGTTAAAAAATTTTGGTGCCCACTACAGCCTTAGCTTGGGTTCAACGCCTATTTGTGCCTCTCAGATCACTTCTTTCAACGAGGTGATTGTTGATAACACCTATAGAATAAAAACTAGACCTGAGAAAGGCGGAAAAGTCCTAGATTGATGTGGTCGAAAGCATGTAAACCCTTGGAAAGAAGAATTGCTGTTTTAGACTCCACCTGCGGTTGCGAGTTTTGCTCATATCCGAGCATCCCTATGATGTGAAACTCTGCGTGTCGGTTCGGCTGCTGTTTGACCATATCCGTTTTCGTCATGAATGTTTTTGGTTGCTTGTTGAGCTGGTCCTCTTTAGAATATTGGAAATTCCATGGCAGGGTTTCCAGGAAGAATTGGATAGAGAGCGCCCATTCCAGATAGACCTTGTACCAAGATCACTACTTTGGTGGAAAAAGAAGCTTGGTGGGTGCGGTCTTTCGAACCGGTGCATTGCTCATACTGAATGACATTTCTACCACTTCGCTGGCCCTACGTTACGCGCATGGTCAACTCGCTCTGTAGATATGAGTGTTATATATGCTATTATTTACTATATATTGCCCACCAAACAAACACAGTGCTCTCAGCATTTGGCAGTGTTTTGCAATTTATACCGTATCTACTTCATTAATTTTTACATTATTTTTCATAGTCGCAAATTCCATACAATAACCATGATTCTTCGTAGAGACTAAAATGAAACATTAGGTAACTGTTAATTAAATTGCCTAATAATGAACTCATCTGAAAAATGGTTTTCACAGATTATTAAGGGCAGAAATGAGCTTTTCTAGTCCAAAGTTCCAGTCATTGC